TGGGACAAAAAAGTATTGTTCCTGGTTTTCTGGTTAATTCTAGATTGGATCAACAGGACAGAAACTCTGCTGTTACATTTCTAGTTGACTGTTGATGCTCAAGCTTTCCCGTCAGAAGACTTTTTTGCTAGTGACTCTGAGTCATGTGAATGATGACCAAGAGGTAACAGCCAACTGCTCCTCTGTCTTAACTAGTTTACAAGCCCTAACAATGACCCAATTATGTAATAGGTATCAGAAAAATGACACCATTGTCAAACATCAATAATGTGTCCATTACATAGTGAAGAAAGGCAGGAAGTCATTTTGCTCCTCATCTTACATGGTTTAGTTTGATTTACCTTTATTTATATAATGCCAAAGTGCAACAACCACTGCCTCAATCTGCTTTATATTGTAAGGTAAAGATGCTCCAGTAATACAGAGAAAATCCCAGCAATCAAACGACCCACTATAAGAAAACTCCCATTTTTCTTCCCCACTGTCCATAGTGGCCTGGCCAACTGCAGGATTTTCAAGGGTGTGAAGATGGGTCTCCAATTCACCTAGCTATTTCACATTCATTCAGGTATCATTATTACTAAAGGAGGATGAGGAGTAGCTAAACATCTGACACACTGAGCAGGAAAGTACAGGAGAACAGGTGAAGAAGCCATGCTGCTAGTGACTTGCCTAAGAGCTGAGCTAAGCTAATAGCTACATTAAGCTAGTTAAGCTAGCTAGATGCAGGGAGGGAGTATTTTGAACGTGGTTAACAGGTGATTTAACAGAGGGTGTGCTTTTGGATAAAACATGAACATAAAACAATGAAATAAATTGTTTTCTACGTGTAGCCGGTTTGCAAACAGGCTACACATATTAAGCTAGACGAAACACCACTGTGCATTGTAACGTGAACAAAGAGTGACAGAATACCACAGAGCCAATGCCAAGTGAGTTTAAAGTTTATTACAACGAATGTTCACTTATTTACTACTGCAGCTTTCTTTGTTTTATATAAATTTATGGGAGAAAATGAATACTTTGATATAAATTGTGTAAAATGGTCTGGAAGTTGGTTTTATTTGACCACAAATAATAGCATATTGGCGTTCCAATAGCACATCCTTTCTGACATTTATTAGCATGCCACACACCAGGAATTAAAAACCACACCATCTTTAAAGTCAAGGCGTATCACACCAGCAGGATTTACTTTCCCCCAAACTGCTCCCTTTATGGAGCTATAATTACACAATTCTCATTTCTATTAATCCACTGTAAAAAAAAAAAGAAAAAAAAAGCTTTGTAGTTTGAGCTTAAGTGTGACGACTGCATTGGAATTATTACTAATACTTCACCAGCTTTTGTAATCAAACCTTGTGACTTTCCTGTACTCGAGTATAAGCAATGCTTCACCCTTTTTTTTTTTTTTTTACCATTTCAGAGGTGGCTGAATGGTATAATCATCTGGACAAATGGAATAATTATTTGGGTGACTGTCTGCTCCTGCAGCTTGTGCATATAAGCAGGTATGACTAAAATGGTATCTGTGGTAGGAATGCTGTGGCTAACCACAACTATGAGTGGAGAGAAACTTCACATAAACACTGTAGCCGTGGTTTAATCCAGTTTTATATTATTCAAACAAGACAGTTACAACAGTGCATGTATCATGTCAGGCCTATCACTGGATCTGAGTAAACTGTCTGTGCAAAGTTCACAGGCAGATGCACTGACTCACAAACAGTAATTTATCACTTCTTTCAGTCTATATAGATGTAATAGATCACTACATTTTTTAAAGTTATTCATCTTTAGCTAAACTCTATGCTGAGTACAATTTGTGACAACATCACAGCTACTGGGCAAATTATCTGCGTAGAACTGTGGGCTACCACCAGCCTTTAAGGACCCACCGGAGAATAATGCTGAATTACAGCATTTCTCGCTCATTTATCACAGCCCCGTTTTTCAAATTTGAGCTGCGGAGACCGTTCAGCTTGCAGCCAGGATTCTTCTCAAGAAGAACTGTGCTGCCAGCAAGAACAGCCACAGCTGGAGAGGAAAATAGAGCCTCTTTCTTCAACAGAAAGTGTGCAGCGCTGACTCGGTGTAACATATTTCTGCATTCGTTCCCAAACTTGGCACCTTGTTTCCTCTTCGGAATAAATGCCAAATGCCACGTCTCACCTTAAAAAAAAAAACCAAGAAAAAACTTTTGGTTTAGCTAAACAGGCGATTTGCTACAATTTGTCTAGTACAGAAAAATATAATTAGTCAAATTAAACACTCAAAACATACCTGTAAAAGTAGTTGCATTAAGCAGAGCTTTTATAATGCAAATTAAGCCTCTGCTCAGTCAGTACTGCAGTTTTGCTGTTGTTTCAGAGATATGCACGGATGTACGCACTGCATTTTTCAAACATCTCGTGTTGATGTTGGTCACGGGCACATTTTAATCCTAGCCCAGATTTTTCCATAAACCAAACCAAGCAGGTTAGATCAGCTAATGTTTGTAGTTTGCAGTCAAATAAATCTGTTTATCTCGCAAAACCTTCTTCTTATCTATCCACACAGCTCCCAAACCTGCACAACCCCAGCAAAGAAACCGCACAATTTATATTTTTCAACATCTGTTTTTCTTCAAAAAACTACGTGGTGCAGTTTGGGTTTCCGAGCTCGACGTCAGCACCAGGTATTTTCTTTTCTTTTAAGCCCTACTTCCCAAAACTCAATTAAAACTTACTACTCATGTGCCCTGAGGCCTGCTACATTTTCATTTGTAGTTGGTTAAGAAGCTCTTTCCATAGCTAATCGCTAAATGATGCAATATGTTCATTAGTGTGTGTTTTCTGTTTTGACGTAGGGCAGCTTTTTTAGAGCTACAAACAGCTTCCAGGTGCACGTGGAAAGTGAGTGTGAGCGTGGCCTAAAATAGAAAAGTTGTGCACTGGTAAGAAGACCAGACACTCTGAGTTCATAAGGTCATGAAAAACCTGTTAGTTGTGGTTCGGCTAAAATCAAATTAACATTAGTTAATCTAGGCAATTCGGGTATATCACTCCCTTTACTCTCCACATGGAATAAAAGTCAAAGATCATGAGCTGCAGTCTTCATTTGTTATGTCTTGAGGAAGAGAAGACTTCAGTGCATATAAAATGTGGGCTGTGTAGCAACACATCGCAGTTTCAAACATTAGAGGCAGTGGTAGCAGCAACATTTTTTTTTCTTACATAACTTGCTATCAATTTAACTCCTACTTTGGCAATTTTCACATGGATTTTTATTCTTTTCTGACCTATAGACAGATGTTTCAGAGAGTGTAAGGTCAAATATGTGCCTCACAGTGAAAACAAATGAAAATTTATTGGCCACAGTGTCTGCAAACCCTGCACTAAATTAGTCCAGACAAAGAGGTGAAAATTCTTGGTGAGTTCATCAGAGTATGCTTTTCCTTACATCAACTTTTCCTTACTTTTAAGACTTTACAGCCATGCAACATTAATAATCGTTAAAATGTTGATGCTGCGGAACACTGTGAACTTGTGGTGATCCCTCACACGGAGGTTTTAGTAAGTGGCTGGACTTGAGGAGACCCAGTTCCAGTAATCAATGAAACAATGACTGAAGGCCAGCTGCACTCTTCTTTTCATCAAACATTCGCGTTTCCTTTTTGGAAAACTGCACCGGAGTGACTTGTCCAATAAAAATATGAAACGTGTTGTTTCATATTTTTGTTCCTTGTTTTTCTTTGTTTTTTTCTTAATTGTTGTAGCTGAAACACACTGGCGAAACAATGCATCTTAACTGGAAACAAAAGCTTTTTAATATCCCAGTGATTCATATCATATTGACCGGCCAGCACTGGACAGAATCCCACACAAAAGGGAACCCAGCAGTGGGAACTTTTAAAGCTCTTTGAGTCAAATAAATGACCAGTTTAAGTGCACTTTGGGGTTCCTGTTGTGGTTTCTGGATTTGGCCTGTGATACCCCAAATCAAATAGCCCATTAAGAGAAACCATTTTCTTTCAATACTGACCCTAATAAAATGCAATAATTCCTAAAAAAATCCCATAAAAACCCATAGTGTGCCTCGATACAGTTGTAGAACAAGAAGTGCTATGTTTGGTTTCTCCTGCGTAGCAACCGTGTTGTCTGTCAACGCAAACTCCCAAAGGCCACACAATTGCAAGGAATCTGTATTACTCTTTTTGGCTGTGTACTTTTATGGCCAACTTGGAGCAGATGTGTGATAAGAAATGTAGCAGTGTGAAAAAAATAGCACATTCCTGACTCTGGTACTAAATAATAAAACTTGCAATAAAGGATCAGAAATGCAGTTTTGTAATTTGCTTTTTCAGAACAAGCGTCCGCTGGATTTTTTTACCATTAATCATCGAATGACAAATCAGTCAATGCAGACATGTTGTTCCCTATTAGTTTGTATCAGTCGGAGCAAAGAACAGTCAAGCACACGCACACAGAAAAAATTCCCATAATTCGAAGCGTGTGTTTTTTTAAATTACATTATTCCTTTGAAAAACTCTAACTCATGCCCATTCCGCATCGTAAGATAATCACATACCAAATAACCCCTTAGTTCGTTACTGGCAGAGGGGAAAAGCTTGATTTGACTCGTTTTGACTCTCAATTATAGACGTTATGTCTTTGCGGGCTGATTATTGGTTTCCTCGTAGTCTGGCGTGTTGATTTGCATGTTATTTTTGTTTGTCTGCTTTGTTTGGTCACGCAGCCTTTATAAAGCACTGTGGACAATAATAAAAGCCTGGTTTTTATTTGCTGGATTAGCAATAAGCAGATTGCTTGGGTTTGTATATCGATGGTACCAGACACGCTAGACATTCCAGCAACCGTTGACAAATCCTGCGTGGCTCAACGTTTGAGCCTCTCGCATACATGCTTAACACCCCTGCCAACTCTGTTATGTAATTCAAGTTTGCTGTTCCTAAGACTTTTACAGTGGTTGCCCCTCACAGGACACACTTCATGGACAGCAGCAGCCTTATAAGGGCAGGGGTACTGTGTCACCGAAAAACGTCCCATAGCTTCCCAGGCACAACTGGTATGTACTATGAAAAATAATGACTCCCACTCTCCAGCTGTCTTCTGCCTGTGCCGTCTTGAGTGCTTTTTCTTTCTTTTGCATCTATTTTTTGCTCTCATCTGTGAGGATTAAGTAGTTTCCCTTCGTGAGACAGGAAAGTTGTGAGCCTGAAATTTGTTTATCTAAAGAGCTTCTTTCCAGTGCGGTCACAGATGACATCACGAGACTTTTTTTCTTTTTTTGCTTACGAAACGATTGATTGGTAGAGTCATATTAACCGTAGCTACTGGCAATGTGTTACTGGGAATTTCAAAGACATTTTAATGTATTGTCTAAGGATGATTAAGATAGTGCTTCAACAGATCTCGCCCTTGTAGTGGGAAGAGATCTGAAAAATGATGTGTCCGTAACACAGACTCGCTTTATTTATGATGGGAAAACTCTTCATCTTCAAAGACACAAAGACTTCCTAGGGTTTCTGCGGCAAGGATTTGTGCCATTTCAGGTCTGGGAAATAAAACATCTGGGACAAACACCATCAAACTAGAACACACAATCGGATCTTATATCCGTTTGATACTTTAATGATATCAGCACTTGCAGGAGGAGACACTCTTTTCCCGGATTCAAAGGGGGAAAGGCTCTGTATCAAATTTGTGGCGGGCCAGAGTTCATCCTTTTGATTGGGTTCAGCTGCTGTCAGCGGTGTTTACCCACCAGCAGACTTGATTCAAACTTTCCAAACAGAAACAGAGTTACACATGAGAAACCAGGGGAAAGATTGGCGTCAACTTTTTAAAATATATATCATCGTATCTTTGGCATCAATTCAATAGTGACAGGAAACAGGGGGCGAGACTAGAGCAATGACACACGACTCAGCTAATTTTAGCTATTCTTGTTCATGTGATTGTGCGTAAATGTGCAAACATTCATAGTGATCCAAAAACTGAACTTGTGCAATTTTAATGAGCTTGAAAGTTAATATTTGGTATTTGCACCTTTATTCTTCTCACATCCTGAACTCTCTTCGGAAGGCTTTCTTGTCATTTCTTAAAATTAGTCTTCAGGCTTCTTGAACATGTTTTTCTATCCAGGCATGCTTTTACTGCCTTGTCAGTCTGCTTCTGATCATTGCCATGCTAAAAAAACAAAAAATGAAACGACTATCAATCAGGCACCTTACAGATGGTGTTGGATGCATGGTGGATCAAAGTCTGATGTCTGTGTCATCTGTGTTCATAATTCCATCAATTTTGACAAGATCCCCAACACCACTGGCTCTCTGCACTGATAATATGACTCAACATTGTCAAATTTGGATTCATCGCTCTATTAGACTTGTTGCCACTGATTGTCAGTCCATTTCTTGTGCAAGTTCGGATAGAGTGGCTTGCAAAAGTATTGGGCCCCCTTGAACTTTTCCACATGATGGCTGAATGATGGCTTGAACAGTGCTCTGAGGGATGTTCAAGGCTTGGGAAATCTTTGCGTAGCCTAAGCCTGCTTTGAATTTCTCAGTAACTTTATCCCTGACCTGTCTGCTGTGTTCTTTGGACTTCATGGTGTTGTTGCTCCCAATATTCTCTTAGACAACCTCTGAGGCCGTCACAGAGCAGCTGTATTTGTACTGACATTACACACAGTAATCACTCTATTTAGTCATTAGCACTCATCAGGCAACGTCTATGGGCAACTGACTGCACTCAGACCAAAGGGGGCTGAATAATTATGCACACCCCACTTTGCAGTTATTTATTTGTAACAAATTTTTAGAATCATGTCTGATTTTCGTTCCACTTTTCACATGTGCACCACTTTGTATTGGTCTTGTGGCTGTAATGTGACAAAATGTGGAAAAGTTCAAGGGGGCCCAATACTTTTGCAAGCCACTGTACTAATGCCAACTTATACCTTTCCCTTCCTTGAGTTACGTGCCCTTTTCATGCTTGAATGATTCATAGGTCAGTGTTAAATGGCTTAGCAAACAAAAATAATATTCCCCTGAAAAAGGTCAGCTACAAGGCCTGGGCTGAAAATGAGTGAAAAAGCAGCCAGTGCCCAAAGAAAAACTTTGAGTAGCTGAAGACAACTTTTAGAAATTACAAGAAACTTGGAAGGAAAAGAAACGAGGAGTGGCTCAAAAACTTTTGCACAGGATAGTAAGTTTCTTAGTTGGTTAATAATAATATTAATAGTCCTGAAAACTATGAGAGCTTTTGTTTGAGCTGTTTGTATCATCATCATCATCATCATCTGTCAGAACACAGAATTCTTGCTATTGCCAGTCGTCAGACGCAACACAGGCTTGTCCTCATAATCTGTAGAGCGAAACGAGGACAGAGTGAGGGAGGAAAAAGAAACAGTCATTTGGGTCGCCAACATTTAGCCGCAAAGATAAACACATATACACAACAATCGTTTCTCTGTAGTTTCTGCTTTCAGTGATCTCATACTAATTGCTGAAATAACCAAGAGATGAACGCTTTTATTTGGACTTTTTCATCATATTTTGTTTTCAAACCAGATGATTACATTCCAACATGATTCAAGGGCAACGGTACAGGAACCTCGAATGACACAAACTGATATGGCGGACTTTAAATTGTTCAGTGAAGTGTTGCTTTGGCTGCCGCCCTGCTGAAGCTGGGTTTGTCTGTTCTTTGTCTGGGCGGGAGCTGCTGCTCTCTTCCATTTCCTTCTCTCTCCCTCGCTGAGGTAAAAATGAGTCACTGAGTCAGCAGCTGGTTTCCGTCATCCCTAATATCACTAGCATTTCACAGGAGACCAGCTGCCATCGTTACACTCTGACGACATCACTTCCCTTTGTCCTTTTATGGAAAAACTTGACTGTTGACAAAAGACCTACCAGGTTGATGATCAGATTTTTGTTCCTTGGTAAATCTGTGATTTATACGCTTGTTTAGGCAGAGCCTGTGTGTCTGATTGTAAAGAGTTTCTTTCCCTGTTAGAAGTCAGGTGAAAGTGTAGACCTCAAAGATCGTGCTAATTTTCTATGTGCGACCCCTAACATTTACAGGAGCCAATCAGGTGCAGGTGGATGATATAAGACTCGTGTTAAACAGCCTTAATAACTCTTTAAGGGCCTTCCATAAATTATGGCATCTATGCAGCGGCTCCACCTTCTGTTACAAGTCTCATATTATCCTTCAACTCTTGAGTATATGTGATCTATGACAGAAAAATGCCTGTAAGTATAGGAAACCAGTATTAATCTCATCTGAGGAACCATAGAAACGTGACATGACAATGCTAACATGCTAATTTTAACCGACATCCAGTGCTCACCATCGAAGTTAACATTTGTAAAATAGCATTAAGCACCCAGCAAACTTCACAGCAGTGATTTGAGTCTTGACTAAATGTCAGCAGCTGTGCAAATAGGTGCATGCTACATGTGCTGTACAAGAGTAGTTTTAATCCACTACTATGATAGTGAAGTGAGGGACTGATGCATGACTAAAGCGCTTTTCATTCGCAAAGCAGCTGTGCTGTGTCTTCAAGTGGAGGACGTGAACAACAAGAACCGCTTGTCAGCTTTGTTTTGGCGTATCATTCTAAGAGCTGGAACACGTGTACTTTTTATTATTCTACCACCCTGGACAAAGGTGAATCACAAAAACAAAAAGGAGGTGCCTGTTTTTGCCAGGGCTGTCAACTACGGATGAGTGGATTCCATTATCGAATGTTTAAACCAAGATGTTTAGTTTTCCCATTCCAGTGGCTGAAGGGACAGGCAGGTCTGTGTCTCGCTCCATCTCATCTTCCTTCCCATTTTCCTGTGAAGGGAGGTGCCGTGCTGAGTGCTGCTTATTTGAGGAGCCACTGTGGAATCTGCTGTCCCTTTTATTTTAACCGTGCAGGCATGGTAGCAAAGATGAGACAGACCACTCTGCTTGATGTTTATCCACAAGGCTTTGAGAAAAATATGGCCTGAATTCTTGGAGACAGGCACATATCCCCTTCATCCTCTCACCTGTTTTGTTTTCCAGGTGTGAGACTCACCCAAAGGCCTTTTCTGTACTTGTTGAGCAGTTCATCGCTCCACCCCGTCTGTTCCCAGTTTTTAAGTAAAGGCAGCCCCAGTGCGAAAAAGCAAATGTGTTTTGTCATGTGGCGAAAACAAGATTAAAATCTCTACATTGCTATGAATTGCTGCTTAAAAAAACTAGCTTTATTGATTTTGGCAAGAGGTTGTAGCTTTAGTGCACAATCCACCAACACTGTCCAGCTTAATATTCAGTTGTGTTGTCTGAAGGGAAGAAACTCACTGAATCCAAACACTAAATTTCAGGATGACTGGACACTGTTTAGCTCAACAAATCATTCCTGTCCTCACTAAAAGTAGTGCCCAACAACAGCGTTTCTGGGTGAACCCATACTGAGTCTAATATTGTGAAACCAATAAAATTCCTTTTCTTATCACTCATGACCAGCTGTGGCAGATAGCTGCCCCTCCCTGAGCCTGGTTCTGCTGTCAGGGTCTTCCTGTTAAAAGGGAGGTTTTCCTTCCCACTGTCACCAGGTGCTCACAGGAGGGCCATCTAGTTGTTGGGGTCTCTGCTTTATCATTGTAGAGTCTTTACCTTACAACATAAAGCGCCTTGAGACAACTGTTTTTGTGATTTGGCACTATATTAAAAAAACTGAATTCAAGTGAACTCTCTTTCACAAGCAGCCACAGGTAGGTTTTTGATGGCATTCGTGGACTGTGTTTTGCAATAAATGGCTATTTTATCGACATCCTGTCTTGACTTCTGCAGTATTAGATGCAGAATTTCCATACCAAGCTGTTGCTCATTGAACGCTCTCCTGCTGCTAATGCGTCACGTTAAAACCATTCAATTGTGTGAAACACGCAGTGGCTTGTATTGTTAATCAGAAAGAATCAGGAAACTGTGTATTTGTCATTGAGACCTACCACAATTGTTCTTCTGAAATCTATCTGCAAAACAAAGACAGTTATCATTTTATGCATTTTTTTAGCTGACAGCTAA